CAAAGGGTTTTTTTCATCATTTCACCTAAATAAACTTCAGAGTTCTTTTCTTAATTCCTCACTGCTAGGGAATATTAGCACCACAGATGTATTATATCTATATACCTCTATTTATCTGTGTTTTACATACACCTTCTCTTCACCAAATATCAACTCCAAACTGTATACTGAGTGAATAATTAGAGAAGCTGGACTATATGAAGAAAGAAGATTGTGGTGTCAAGATTGAAGGAAGATTCATGGATGGTTTATATTATACAGATTATATCACTTTTCTGGCAGAAAATGAAGACAACTTAAAGTAATTACTGAAGAAAATAAAAAATACAGTCTTAAATATGGATTACAACTCAGCATCAAGAAAACAAAATCTTCATCAGTGAACCTGTATGGTTGGTTCAAAATCAAGAAGGGTGCACACCAGGGATCTGTCCTATCTCCATACCTTTTCAATCTGCATGCAGAAAAGATCATCCAGGAGGCTGGGTTCTATGAGGAGGAATGGGGCACAGGATTGGAAGAAGACTCATTAACAAGTACATTATGCAGAGGACACAACCCTTCTTGCTGAAAGTGAGGAGGACCTGAAACACTTACTGCAGAAAATCAAAGACTGCCTTCAATATGGGTTGAACCTCAACATCAAGAGAACAAAGATTTCTCACCACTCGGCCTATTGGAAGCATTGAAATAGATGCTGAAGAGATTGAGATAGCAAATAGCTTTAGTTTGCTTTGCTCCACAATCAACATCCTTGGTACAAGCAACTAGGAAATCAAAAGATGAATTGCATTGGAAAACTCTGCTTTCAGGAACCTCTTCAGAGTACTGAAGAGCAATGACGTCAGTCTGGAGACCAGGATTCACCTGATCCATGCTACAGTCTTCACAATTACTTGTTATGCATCTTAAAGCTGGACAATGAGTAGGAATGATAGAAAGAGATTTTATTTGTGTGAGATTTGGTGCTGAAGAAGAATATTGAATATACCAAGGACTGCTAGGAGAACAAACAAGTTTGTCCTGGAGAGGGTGAAACCAGGCTACTCTTTGGAGTCAAGGATTCTGAGGCTTCATCTGTCATACTTTGGGCATGTTGCAAGGAGGGACTAGTCCCTAGAGAGGGTCATCATCATGGAAGGGTGGAGGAACAGTGCAAGAGAGGAAGACCCTCTATGAGATGGATTGATTCAATTACAGGGGTAATGAGGGTAGGAATATCAGAGACAATAAGGTAGGCCCAATATAGAGCAGGTTTCAGGGTTATGTACATAGGGTCACTATGAGTAGAAAATGACTCAATGGCCTATAACAATATTGCATATTCAAGACCCATCAAAAGCTATGTTGCATTGAGGAAATCTGTTGTCAATAACCTCTCCAGAGTGCTAAAAAGCAATTATGTCAGTTTAAACCTAAAGTGGTACCTGATACTTTCTTGGTATTTTTCAACTGCTTCCTATTAATCCGAAAGTTTTATAATGAGTAAGTATGACTGAAAAAAGAGTCAATGTCTTTGGGTTGTGATGTTGGAAAAAAGTACTCAATAAATGTAGGACATGCTTCTGAACTGCAGTAGCCGTGGGCAAACTGGAGAATTGACTTGAGATGGGATTGGGAAGGGGGGGGAAGGCAATATTGAAAGGACTGAGAACTTTTTTGGACAATAGAGGAGTGAAGTAAAAATAGACAGGGAAGAGAATTTGAGAATGCTGTGTGGCCCAGGCAGAGGTGCCTGTGTGCACATTTTGGGGGCTATCTTTAATGTATTCTGCTATTAATCTGTTGTGGTTTTTTTTACCTCCTCAAAACGTTTCTGAATGGTCTGTGAGCTAGCATCCATCCTAGGAGTAAGATTGGTGTTAAGATGAGTAGAAAGAGATATGGAAGTGTTGGGGCCGTGTCTGATCTCACGAGAATTGGTTTTGTGGTCTTGATGCTGTGGAAAGGGATACTTTTCCTCTGTGAGGTTGATAAAGGTCAGATATGGCTGTCCCCATGTAGCCCTTATTATCTTTGCACATACTTAAGTTATCTGTAGGGAGTTGCATTGCTAACGCAAAGGCAAAGCCTCTCTGTTATTTTGAATCCACTAATCCTTTTCTGAAGAAAGATGGACAATAACCTCCCAGTGGATTTATTTCTTCTAATAATCCATCAGAAAGTCATCAATGGTCATAATTGACAACAATGAAATTGCAGGGGTTTTTTACTAATTATTCAAGCAAAAGGTAAAAAAATCACAATTTAAAAATGTTCACTTACATTCTTAATTGGAATCTTTGTGAACACTGTTGTTCAGAGTAATAAGCATTATAATATATATGCTTTGAACCTCACAATAATATGGTATCTTGCCCATTTATCAATTAACAGCACATATTAAATTTTTGTAATGTTATATACATTATTTGTGTTGTTTTTTTTAAGTTTCATGGCAGAAAACATTAGGCTGAAAAAAATAAAAAGGTAAATGATTATCACTTCTCTGGCTGGCATTTGGAAATACAGGTCTTCAGTTGAAAAATTAAAAATGTAAGTGTATTGTTAAAGTTAAATATTTACTGGAGATAAATTAAAACATGAATGAAGGTAGATAGGGTTTCCAGAAAAGAATAAAATGCTATAATCATAGCCTCTTATATCTCAATATTTTAAATATCTTGATCATTTCTAATACTGTTTAAATATTTTTTAATGGTTTTATTAGAGAAAAGGTACTGGATTATTTAACAAAGATGTGTCTCTATACTTTAAAATATATTAAACATTTGAAAGTAAATGAATTTATTTAATTTTTAGCTATTATATTTTCTTTATAGACGAATCAACGCTACCCCCAGATCTGGCTTTACAATCAAATATCACACTAAAGCACCATATAAAACAAATATCATTAGTGGTTGAAAACAATGATTGTGTGATGGCAGCACGTGCCTGCCAGGAATCTGAAGACTGTAGTCTATTGTATGAGAATTTTAAAAAACTATGTGGGAAAGAAACAGAACAATGCAAGACCCTTGATGGAGGTGGCATGTGTACAGCCTTACAAGACCATCTGAAAGAAACAGTTTTATGGAACTGCCAGTGCACTGACCCGTCAAATGCAGACTGCATTAAAATTTGGAAAAGTTTATTTGAAGACATCTGTATACAGCACACTCAAATGAATCAAGTCGTCTCAGCCTTCACAGAGGACTATGAAAACGGATTCAATCAGAATACCTGGCCAGGTCAGTGTGCAAGGAAACCTTTAAGAACAGTAAGTATGATCACATACAGGAGCAAACTAAAGAATATTTAATTGTTTATTTCAGTGCTGCCACTTCTGTCTCCATTTCTCCTGGAAAATTCAAATAATAAACGAATATCAGAACTTCATCCCAAAGCGTTTGTGAAGAAAGAGGCAGAGTATCTTAATGTTTGTTTGGAAGTTTTTTATTGATCCAATAATTAGTTTTTTAAAAAGTTAATGAGGCATTTATAATAAGTTATATTCTGTGCAATAGGATATAAAGCAAGCATATCGTCCTTCATTCAAGGAGTTCTCTTTTATGGGATATTAATCAGTGATTTAGTTATTATACATATGCAGAAGATTAAGTGGGTAAAAAGTATGGTAGACAGCCTTCACTGGAGCATATTTAACCATGAAGGGCATTTTATAGCAAAAGTTAATATTGTCATGCACTGTTGATTTAGTGGTAAGGATCTGTGATGCCAACCCAAGGCATTTCTTTCAAATCCACCCATTGTTCTGAGGAAGCAAGTTGGGCAAGCTCTTCATGCATGGCTTCTGCTTCTGAAAAATCTGCTAGAGGATTACCTATGGGTGGGCACAGATTTGACAGTACATAACAACAGTGTTAACATTGTAGTCTTATCTAAGTTTGTTATATGATAGCCATTGGAAAAAATTTGTCTTTTCATTTAAAATGAACATTTTATGATATTATGTCTCTACAATTTTGTAAGGAACTCAAATGGCTTATTGGGTAGTGCTAACTTGTAGATGGTGCTTCTCTAGCACTTTAAAAACAGTGGCAAATTTGAGGGTGAAGATTTGATTTAATGTCTTCTAAAACCTGCTGGAATGTCTATGAATTTATTCCGAATTCAAGGCAATAATCAATGATTGAGAATAACTTTAGAAAGAGTTCTGGCAGATTTTCCATAGGGGGTTGTACTGCTAATCCAAAGGCCACATCTCCTTGGCAGTTTAAATTTACCAGAAACTCCTCCACTGGAAAAAGATGGGCAAGAAACTCCTGTGCCATTTACAGCCTCAGAAACCTGTTAGAGGGCCCGCTGTGTTTTTGTTTTATCTTCTGATTTTGTTTTCTCTTCACTTTATGCATACTTAATTAATGTCCTCTGTATTTAATTTTATTTTTATGTGTTTATTTTTTTTAATTTATTGAAATATGGGATATTCATTGATGATAGTTGCAGATCTATGTGTATACAGTTTGGAGCCTGGTGTACATTAGAGACTCAGCCAATATTACTTGAATGAAAGGATCTGCTTAGATGTAAACAACCACTCAACTCCCATCAGTGAGGTTCTCCGTCTCAAGAATTATAATTCTCAAGAACCTTGGAAGCTATGATAATAAAAGTTAGAAGTAGTCTTTAAATGTCATTTAAATCTAATTAAGGCCTAAGTGGGAAAATTATTTTGTTTTGTTTTGCTTTTTTTCCAAACAATATTCCTTCTGGCCCTTCTCCCCCAACAGTCTTCAGTGTTCAAGGCCTAGACATTAGCATTTGTTAAATCTCCAAGTAACTGAATCTTCACAGCAGGGTTGCTAAATCGTTGTGAATGTTACTTCAAGACTGCCCCCACTTAGATTAAATATCATACACTTTTAATATCAAAAGTTAAAAACATGTTACATTATTTTGTATGCATATTTTGCTTGATCGTTTATGAATGTATTTCACATTCTTCTATTACATTTAGAAAAATTTGAATAATTTTGTTTTTATTTTTCTTCTAGATAGTATGAAGGAGGATAGTAAATTCATATGGAATCTGACTACTCTTTCTCATTATGGTAATGTTTACAAATTATCATTTTGATCTGAAATGCAAATACTAGATAATATGATTTAAAGTGTAGTTTCTAAGCTTCTTAAAAGAGTTATCTATACAAAATAAGTAGACATTATAAATTATATTTACTGCCTCTGAAAACCCACTGCAAGGTCATGTATTGCTGGTCAGTCCCAAATAGATGGTACACCACCACCACTATCATGTCAACAGTGATATATTATAAGACATTCTGGTGGCCTAGTTGGTAGGAAATCAAACTCCTAACTCAGAGGTTGCGCCTCTCTGGCAGTTCAAGCTCACTAGGCATTCAGAGGGAGAAAGATGAGAAATCTCCCTTGCTAGAAATAGCATCTGAAAATCCACTAGAAGGTCAGCTCTGAGCAGGTTCTGACTCAATAACCAAGAATAAGTGAGTAAATGATATATCAAAGACGATTACTTTGCCCATCCACCACTAATCTGAGAATGTGCCAAAGAATGCTATATCTTTGATTAAGTCCAGGGATATTTTGTCACCAAGAAATAGAACTATTTTTGTGCTGATTGATTTTGGGTATGTGTGTTTGTTGTGGAGGTAAGATGTTCATGTATTGTGTTTTTCAGACTATGAATGTCTTGATATTCTAGAAAACCTAAGTAGAAACTTTAGTCAAGATTCTCAAACAACATGAAAAAATAAAAACCATATTGCCTTTAGCTAATGTAAACTACATGTTACAAGTGCAAATTCTGAAGATATATTATTTATATTTTAAAAACTTGAATGCAGAGATTTTCCTTTGGTGTCATTTTGCCCATACATACCTCCATTACTTCTGGATCCCAATGAGTACCAAGAGAGATGAAAGATGATTCAAAGAGCCTAACTACTCAGATCTCAGAAAAGTCATTCTTAAATAAACCAAAAAAACCCTACAAATAAACCTCGTGTCTTCCAAAAAATAGTGCATTGTTACTTCATTTGCATTTTGTTCACAGACGTCTCTCAGGGTATAGCAGACCCTGTATGTACAGCACTGTGTTTACTTTTCCACAATAAGGGCATATCGTTCTTTTTCAGCTTTCAAAGGGATCCAGTCCTGTTTGGAAGTGGCAGAGGCGTGTGTAGGGGATGTGATCTGTAACGCACAGTTGGCCCTTTACCTTCAAGCTTGTTCAGCAAATGGAAATCTGTGTGATGTGAAACGTTGCCAAGCAGCCATAAGGTTCTTCTATCAAAATATGCCTTTTAACATTGCCCAGATGTTGGCTTTTTGTGACTGTGCTCAATCTGATATACCTTGTCAGCAGGCCAAAGAAGCTCTTCACAGCAAGCCATGTGCCGTGAAGTTACTTCCAACCCCCACTTGCCTCAATGTAATTCACAGCTGCCGAAATGATGAATTATGCAGGTGAGTAAAAACATGCATACCTTACTTTCTTATTTCGGCACCTTATTTGTTACAGTCCAGTCCTAACACTTGATCTCATTACATTTGCTAGAGTTCCCACCATCATCCAACATGGTGCAAATAAAGCCAGACAATTCTTACTTTTGAATCTGTGGTACATGTGTCGTATCCATTTTGCAATTCAAATGCAGAACAGGTTTTTGGAACAAAGAAATTCTGTATGTCAAAACTAAGTAGCATTATTAAAATTATGTATTCCGTTCAAACTAAGGAATCAGTTCATATACCTTGTTTTTCTGTATGATTACTTAACACTGCTAAACTTTACACAATTTTGGCAAGGTAGCTCTTCCAAATAAAGCTTTTTGGTAATGGGCTGGAGATAGGCAGATGAAAGTGCCTTCAGTGCAGTCGACTATTTCCAGTATATGTATTCACCACAGTTTTAGAAATAAATCCATTTTCACCTTCTCAACCTCAGACCCTTATGTCTCTAATGGGAATCATGTTATTATTGCTGTCGTTGTTGTGTAGCACCAAGTTACAACCGACCCATAACTGACCCTCCGGTGGGTTTTCAGAGACAGTTAATTTCACAGGAGGAGATTGTCCGTCCTTCTCCCACAGAATAGTAGGTGGGTTTGAACTGCGTGTCTTTGGGATTCCAGTGCAGGTTCTTATCACTAGATATCAGTTGTTTATAAGTTTAAAAAATATTTATCAAGTATCTACTATTTCCTTTGACAACAGGGATAAATTAGTGAAAGGAAATAATGGGTCCCCTGCTGGAGTTTGTATTCTAGTAGAGTGAGACAGGTAGGGATGATGATGATGATAATTGAGAATAATGAATTCTACATACTAGATGAGTGTATATTATAAAATTCACTGCTATCAAGTTGGTTCTGACTTACAGTGACCCTCTCTGGTTTCCACAGCTATAAATCACAATGGGAAGTGACTTCCTACATTTTTCCCTTGGAGCAACTAGTGAATTTGAATCACTGGAGAAACACACAGATTTTTTTTGTTAGCAGTACGACATCCTTAAGACTCCCTGTATAAGTGTTCTGGATAAAAGAATGGGAAGAACAAGGAGGATAGAGAACAGGGCAGAAAGAGTTATACTACAAGCAGGGTAGCCCCAGAAGGAAGGAATTTGCCAAAGATTTGAAGAAAAAGTCATGTAAATGCAAAAAGCAATCCTATGCAATGGGCTCAGTCAATGCAAAGGTTCTGAGAGAAAGACGTGCATAGTGGATTCAAAGAGTAGGGAGTGTGGTGCGTAATGTAGATGATCCAGTTAAAGGTCTAATTGAATAAAGTGTGGATAAATCCACATCACACAGGCCCCTAAAGAAGGAGGTAAAGATTTAGGTTTTACTCTAAATATGAAAGAAAGGCTCTAAAGAAGTTTGAACAGAGTCATGAATATCTGGCATGCCCATTAAAACTTTGACAGTATCAAGTCCTATGTCATTCTCACAAATATTACTATAAGTAAGCCAATTGTTACAGCTATTGTATTGCTTCATCTCACTAAAGATCTCTCTCTATTTCATTGATACTCTGCTGTACCAAACATTCTACCCTTCTCTGGGATTGGGCCCTCATGGTAACACATCCAAAGTACACGAGATAAATAAAGTCTTGACATCTTTGCTCTTCCATTTTTTCTTCCTTTCTGAAGAATTTGAATTGATATCTCATCCATTCCTGGAGTATTCTTTTTCACCAACGCTTTCAGGACAACTTCAATGTCTTCCTTCAATACTATAGGTTCTTGATCATTTCTTCTGAAATGATGATTGAACATAGAACAATTTTTTGGCACACTGTCTATATTCATATTCTTTCAAAACTTCTTGCATCATTCAATAGTCTGCTCATACATTGCCCCTCTATCCTTCCAAAATATTTAGAAGATTCCAACTTATAACCATCCTTTTATTATATTATATCTCAAGACATGAAATTACCCTTCCATTCCTTGGGAGATGCCACATATGCTCTTCCTTTTGGGATTTCTAATTCTAGATCTTTCCACATTTCATAATAATTATTTGTGTTTTCAAGATTCCCTCTGAAATATTCTGTTTAGTTTTTCTATTCATTTTAGTGAGTCTGTGTTCAAGATTGTGTTTTAGAGTTGCTCTTTACTTTCATTTGTTTAGGTTTTTGTTTGTTTCCTGCCTTTTAATAGCCTTTTGCTTTCTTCATGTATGATGTTGTGGTGTTAAGAGTTTATTGTTCAAAATGGAATCTGAATATTATCAAAAGGATAACCATGAGGAGGTGAATAGGGTATGTTAGCATATTCTCATATGGATTGGCTGTCTCATCATTAAATTGGGTGAATTCAGCAGTAGGATTTGAGAGAATCTCACCAACAGTAAAGAAGATACAAAAGAATGCATCACACCCTTGGGGTCGGACATTCTTGCACCAGCTACCCCTGTAGCCTCAGCAGCCTTTGCCAAAGCAGAGAATCAGAGACCTGATGCAAGATTAACCTGACTTTGGGACTGCTACTCTCCGGAAACTCAACATCAAGAAAACAAAGATTCTCACCATTGAGGCAATTGGCAGCACTATGATAGAGAAGAGATTGAGATGGTTAAGAATCTCAGCTTGCTCAAGTCCACAATCAACACTCTTGGCTCCAGCAGCCAAGAAATAAAAAGACAAATCTGAGACCTCTCCAGAGTGCTGAAGAGCAATGATGTCAGTCTAGAAACTAAGGTGCACCTGATCCAGGCCACGGTCTTCACAATTAATTGCTATGCATCAGAGAGTTAGACAATGACTAAGGTTGGCAAAAAAAAATATGGTTTTTAGTTGTGATGCTGGAGAAGAGTACTGAACATACTATGGATTGCTGAGAGAACAAATAGGTCTCTCCAGGAAAGGATGAAACTAAGTTGCTCCTTGGAGACAAGAATTTTGAAGCTCCATTTCACATACTCTGGGAATGTTGAAGAGGGACCAGACCTTGGAGAAGTACATCATACTTGGAGGGGTGAAGAGACAATGCAGGAAAGAAAAACCCTGAATGAGGTGACTTGACACAGTAACTAGGGCTATAAGGGGAGGTGTTAGGAGACAGTGAGATTGACTCAAGATAAAACAGAGTTCAGAGATATTGTGCATAGGGTCACTATACATCACAGTCAACTTGACTGCACGTAATAACAACAACAACCATTCTGTGGAACCAGAGCCCTTTGCCCAAGTTTGGATTTTGTTGTTGTTTTGTTCCACTTTTTTTTTTTAGGCTTAGGGGACAGAGCCATTAATGGCAGGACTAAGGACTTGTAACACCTGCCTAAAGCCACGAGACTGAAAGTTGAGGTGCTTGAACACATTTTTTAATCTGTCCTGACTGAGTGGTTATATCTCGTACAAATCTTAATTATAGCTTTTTGACTTCCCAAATTTAGTTCTGTGTGGTATGTGAGCTAATGCAACTGATTTTGGAACCAGAAAAAGCAGCGAGATTGGTGTTGGGCTGAGTAGAAAGAAGAGTGGGAGCATGGAGGACATGTCTGAACCCTGTGGAGTTAATTTTATGTTGTTGATGGGGAAAGTTCTCCATTGTGGAGTTGGTAAAGGTCAGATATAGCCATATCCCACGACTCTTGCTCCTTTTTACAGTTGTCCTTGATAACATTATACAATTTGCTGAATAAAGATGTCATAAGTGTTTGTAGCATCAAACGTATTATTGATATGGTCTCTAAGTTCGATATGTTCAAGATCATATTTTTACTTTTGTGGATATGTTTTAATTTTATTTACTGTCATCTTGAATTTTAAATAAGCTGATGTTCTATTCCATAATCTCTTATCTTGTTCTGATGTTATTGAGCTTTACCAGCATTTTTTCCACACATGTAGTCAATCTGATTGTCATTGTTGTTATGTGCCATCAAGTCAATTGTGACTCATAGTGACCTTATGTACAAGAGCTCTAAACACTGTTCTATCCTGTGCCAACCTAGCCATCTCAAACGCACTTATACCCACTGCTCCAGTCACAGAATTGATCCATCTCATCGAAGGTCTTCCTCTCCCTCAACTCCCCACCACTCTGCCAAACATGATGTCCCTCTCCAAGGACCAGTCCCTCCTTGTAACACGCCCAAATTATGTCAGACAAAGCTTCAGAATCCTTGACTCCAAGGAGCATTCCAGCTTCACCTTCTCCAGGACAAACCTGTTTGTTCTCCTAGTAGTCCATGGTATATTCAACACTCTTCTCCAGCATCACAGCTCAAAGGCATCAATTCTCTTTCTATCAACCCTATTCACTGTCCAACTCTCTGATGGACAGTGAATTGCAAAGACTATAGCCCGGATCAGGTGCACCTTAGTCTCCAGCCTGACGTCATTGCTCTTCAGTACTCTTGAGAGGTCCCTCACAGTCAACATTCCCAATGCAATTTGTCTCTTGATTTCCTGGCTGCTGTTACCAAGAGTGTTGATTGTGGAGCAAAGCAAACTAAAACTGTTAACTATCTCAATCTCTTCACCATCCATACTGATGCTGCTGCCAATTGGCCCAGTAGTGAGAATCTTCGTTTTCTTGATGTTGAGCTTCAATCCATATAGTAGGCTGCAGTCCTTGACCTTCTGCAGCAAGCACTTCAGGTCTTCCTCAGTTTCAGCAAGCAGGGTGATTATTTTGTTTAAAAGATATTTGCAATCAATAAATTTATGATCTTGAATAATTTTATAATGTCATTTTAATTATGTATATGCATATGTATATGTATATATATATGAGAGAGAGACCTCTTTTATGTATTTTCTTTTCTTTCTTACAGAAGATAAGATCTCCTTGTCTTCAATTTTCTTTTTCCGTGTACTGTTAGTCCGTTAATGAATATTTAGTAGTGATGATAGAACTATTATACACATGAGCAGTTAGGATTTTTTAAAAGACAAATTCTATCATTTTCCTAAACAAATTTTGCCTTAGGAAAATTTTCTCCATTTATAAGAAATCATTGTTAATGTAATTCAGATGCAAAAAAGTCTCCTAATGAAAACCATTTCCTCTATGAGAATGTTAAGCTCTTTATTATCTACTTTTTTAAAAAAAGGTTGTTCATAGGGCAAAGTATGGAATATGTTTTTGAATAATATAATTTCCATTCTAATTTTAGCTTCCTCAATTTACTATGGTTTTTAAAATTCTGTCTTATTTTCATTTAAAAAGCCCATGTATGAACTAGTTCTCAATTTTGTCTAAGGTGTTGTATACTGTCGAGTTGGACCCTACAGGGGCTTTTTGGAGGCACTAAATCACGTAGAAGAGATTGCTTTATTTCTCCAGTAAAGGAGCTAATGGATTTGCATTGGGTTAGTAGCATAACTACACACCATTAAGCCACAGATGCTTATTGGGTGATGAGTTAATATTTTGCTTAGCATAATAAGTGCTTAGCAACTTACTAAAACATATTTCTTTAAGTACCATGGAATATTTATAAAATTTTACTATTTATTATGTCACAAACACAAAGGCAACACTTCTTGTGTACAGAAGTCAGGTAGAACAAATTCTCTTAAATTTTGTAATGTAGCTACAAGTTAACAGCAGACTTATCTCTTGAGAACCTCATTTGTTGGGAAATATGTTGACATAAAACTGAGGATTAACAAGAAAATAAAGACATTGAAAATACATTTTTAACACACCATGTCTACATGTACATATAAATTAGAATGTCAAATTTAAGAGTGTATATATTAGAAAAATATTTCCAATTTTAAAATTAATTTAATATGGTTATGTAACTTATGTATTAGAGTATAGCTATTAGTGTTTGCTATTAATGATATGTTATGTAGTATCTAATTTTCACAACCCAATTTCTTAATGAAATACAGTATTGAGTAAATATATAATTCAAATTAAACTTAATGAAGCACACATTTAGAAAAAATAAGGAGCATGTTAGTGCAAAGTTATGCTGTATCAGGCTCCTGAGCAATAATTAATACTGACCGTGTTTACATTTAGATGAATGTCTTAGGTATTTAGTGCTGCTCTAACAATTTATCAGAAATAGATGACTTTAATGAACTGAAATTTATTTTCTTCCAGTTTAAGTAGCTAAAAAAAGTCTCCACTTAGTGTATGGTTTCAAGGGAGAGCTTCTTTTCCCATCAATTGTATGGAGAGGTACATACCATCAATACTGAATGTAGAAATTTACTTTTTATCCATTCCTAGCATCCAGGAAGCATTTTCTTTTCTATTAGTCTTTCATTAGATGAGGCAGACAGTACCACCTATTAATGTGAAATATTAGACACAAGCTAATTCTCTTTGGTTCTCTTTTTCTAGGACGCGTTATACAACATTTCAGTTAAAATGTTGGCAGCACGTGACTAGAAAGTGCCAGGAAGATGACACTTGCATCAGCACCTTAACCCAGCATGATCTTATCTGCTCAGGACATAATGATTGCAAGGCAGCATACATTGGGACCTTTGGGACTGTTCTCCAAGTTCAGTGCACCTGTAGCTCCATCACACAAAGTGAAGAATCTTTGTGCAAGATTTTCCAGCACATGCTTCACAGAACATCATGCTTCAGTAAGTTCATCAAATCAAATTTCCGCAAAATGTGCTTTATGTTTCTTGGTTTTGATCTATAGAGTATTGTAATCCAGCACAGACCCTTTGCTCACAAAGTTCGTTTTGTATGCGCTAACTCATTTGAAAGGTGTAGTTGCTGCTGTTTTAATAATTTATCATGATGTGGTACATGTTTTTAAACTCTGATACGTCACTCCTAGTTCTCATTTCTTGATTTCATTATAATTAGAACAGAGGATTTATTCTATCAGAAAATGGTTGTGCTAATTATCTATTGTTGAATAACAAATCACGTCAAAATGTAGTTACTTGCCCAGGAACTATTTGCTATATCACATTTTAAACTTGATTCTGCTGGGCATTTCTTCTGATAATCTTGTTTGGGGTCGATCATATATCTGCACTCATCATTTTCAACTGAAAATGGATGATCTAAGCGAACATCTGTCAAGCACACAATGTATGCATGTACATTATACATTTCAGATTGCTTGCTTTACTTCTGCATGATCCTTTCAGCACCATAGTTTTAGTCTCTTATATGGCAGTAGAAAATACTAGAGGTTTAGTCCTAATGTACCAACACGTACACAGAGTCTATGTCTTTCATATATGCTAATTTCCATGTAGTCAAAGTAAGTAACATGGACAAGCCCAGAGTGTGCATAGACAGGGACTATATGAGGATGTGACAATTCACATGGCTGTCATAGTCTTTTCAAAATGTTTGTCTTTCAATTTAGTTGTTTTTCTCTTTAGTCTTTAATATAGCTGTGAAACTACTGTTGCTGATGTTGTTGATTGCCTTCGAGTTGACCACGACTTGTAGTGACCCTATGAACAAAAGGCTTGAAGCCCCTCTACAAATATCAACTATTATCAAAGGTCATAGAGTTTCCAGAGCAGGCATGTTGTTTAGGAAGTGGATGCCATTTCTTCTTCCAATGCAAAATTACTAATAATTATAAAATATAAAGCACCTTTTGGGGAGATGTTACTCTATAGAAGGGATAAGAAAACTGGAATTCGTAAATCAACTAATTTACTCATAGCAATAATTGAGCAAGAACTTGTCTATCAGTCTTACAGAAAGACTCTAGCTGAACAATCATAAACTCAGATCTAGTCTTATCCATCTTCAGGGTTTGTCCTTGAAAATACTTCAGTTCCTAGAAACCACAAAGGGTCTCACGGGTATACACTTGACCAACAAGCACCATTCCCAGGAGGAAATTATAACTGTTTACAGTTACATTACAAATGTAGTTTTTATATTTATGGAAAATGTTACACAGATATGTGTTTCTGGTTTTCATTTATAGACACATAGGAGAAATGAATTAGTTAATATAATTAAAATCATGATTTGTTTGTGTGTATTAGGTAATATACATACAATTTGGAGTGTATGGTTTTGATAATAATAGAATTCTCTATGGAAATATTTCTATAATTTATATAATTAGCACTATAAACATACTTCAATTGAAATCATAGTGCAAAGAAAAAATTTTAACATTATACATGTTGAGTGTTATTTTCTAAACAATCTTCCTCTCTGATTAAGGTTAAGTGGTTAGTTATGCTGAAACTAAAAGTACTAATAAGGAATGACATGTTACTTTACAGCAGGGAATATCAAATGACAATATAGCCAACAGCCATATAGATTGTTACTTTACAATGGATAATTAAAACTATTTTCAAGATATAGTAAATGACCAAGAAAAAAAATAAAATAAAAAGAGGCATCCTGTGAATTACTAGCAGCTGTTTCCTAAACTTTCTCTTCCCAAGCTTGGATTTCTCCTGTGTATCTTTAAATATTGTTGCTTTTATCTTTATCGTGTGTGGCCACCATGAATTCTACTGAAGAAAAAACAAATTTATAGAGAGGCAATAGATGAAAAAAAATCTGTATAAAGAGCAGAATTGAATGTTTTAAAAGTTCTTAAGCATTGACATACTTCATGACGATTGTAGAAAAATGAAAATATAAATATCACCTTTTTATACACAAATTATGACCAAGCTTAGATCATTACCTTAATGAAATTAAAAATTTCAAGTAGTAGAAATATAGTAGTAAAGGTTCTTCATAGTTTTCAATTATAGTTTAAATACCTGGAAAATAATAATAAGATGCTTAAAAAAAAAGGGTGAAGCTAATTTTTAGGCCCATGTGGACTATTAGGTTCTAACTCTAGCCCTCATTCCCTGCCTCATTAAAGGGAAGAAGTACAAGTGAATGTTTTGAACGAGGCATCACTGTGAATGTTACCTTAACTCATTTCAAAATTTCAGTACTTAAATTTTTTATGAAGGTCAACACTTCTACTTAGCATATTTCTAAATCTTTTTAGTTTCTATTTCTTTGCTGAGTATCAATGAGAAGGCAATTGTTGTTGTTTACCATAGAGTCAGAACTGACCCATCACTGACCCTCTGGAGGTTTTTCAGAGGCAGTTAAATCAAGCTGGAGGAGATTGCCCATAGGGAAGCTTTTTAATTGTTTTTCAGTCTGCTGTGTTTATTTAGCGAGAAACATTGTTTTACACATTCATATTATTCCAGATCATAGTAAACAGCACATTTTACACTAACCTTTTATGAGCAATTTTGCTGTCAGTGGTGGTTGTCCTTGAGTAGATTCCAACTCATTGCAATCCATCTGTGCAGACTAGAACTATTCCTTAAGGTTATCAGGGATGAAACAATTCATCCATATCTCTAGGTCTGTGTTCTGATGTGTCTCCCTTGTTGCTGTTAATGCACCATCGAGTTGACTATGACTCATAATGACCCTAAGAACAACAGATCTCCTATATTCTGAGCCAGCTTCACCATCTGTGATATACTCAAGCTTTTTGTTACAGTCACTGTGTCAATTTGTCTTGTTGAAGGACTTCCTCTTTTTCTCTGACCCACCACCTGACCCAAAATGATAGCTTTATCCAAAGACTGCTCTCTCCTGTCAACTTGCTCAAATTACGTGAGATTAAGACTCACCATTTTTGCCTTGAAGGAGAGTCTTTCTAGCTAGACCTTCAGTGCTTACTTATTCATGCCATCCAGGACTTTAATACGCAATGTAATGAAATGACATTGTATATACAGTGTCTTTTATTATTATTATTATTATTATTAATCTTATTAAATACTAAGTACTTTGTGCTACTATATACCATGCCTCACTAATGCATGTTTCTCTGAAATCAGAAAACACATAATACTAAAAGTAATCTTCAGGGAGCTCTGGTGGCCTTGAGGCAAGAAATTGTGCTGCTTGTGCTGCAATCCTCAAGACGTGCAGTTCTAATCTACCAGATGCTGCCCTGAAGAAGGCGGTACAATCTCTTCCTGTACCAGTTAGATCCTATTCGATGGTACACAACAAGAAAAAAAAAATAAATAAAAGTAATTTTAGGTTCGTTGATGTATCTAAGAATGATACACAATTTTGAATAATAACAGAGTGCATGTTGGGAAAGAGTAGTGACTATTTCATGAATTACTAAAATAACAAATATGTCTTAGAGAAAGTGCAACTAAGTTAGAAAAAAGAATGATGAAACTTCATCTTACATAGTTTGGACATATTTTCGGGACTGGGCAGTTTTTGGAAAAAGACATCAAGCCAGGGAAGTTGAAGAGTCAGAAATAGAGAAGACTCTAACGAAGATAGATATATTGACACAGTGACTGTAACAACAGTGGCCAACCTATGGGAAATCGTGAGGATGAGTAAGGAATAGGGCAAGGTTTTGATCTATCATATATATGGGGTTGCTATGAGTTATAGGAAATTCTAGTGGATTGGTGGTAAGGAGTTATTGTGTCAACCCAAATGCACACAGTTCAAATCCACCAGCTGCTCTGCAGGAGAAATATGGACAATTTCTTCCCGTGATCTGTATTGTCTTTGAAAACCTGGAAAAAGGTAAGCTTTAAGTCAGTTCGAACTTGGCTATATGTCACAACAACAGGAATTAGAGTCGACTTAACAACCATAACAACAGCAGCATTTTTCAAGTTGTTTGAGAGTGTTTTGTTGTTGTCTGGAGGTATTTTGATGTGTTTTTTTGTCAAAAAGGATCACCATTTTTTTTGCATGCACTCTTTACATATTTATGACCTTGATGCTAATATTTTGCCAATTCTGCATATGAAGAAAAGGAAACTAAAATATTTAGCATCATTTTAGGGTCCTTTTCAAGGATGATGGAGTCAGCATTCAAACCTCAGCTGGCTGATTTCAGAGCCTGCTACATTTCTTGCTTGTAAAATGATAAGGGACAGCTCAGTATGAAATGCTCTCTCAGTGATAACTTCTCAGCTCAGGTCTCAGAACTAAGTTTTGCAGCATGTTAAAGTATCCTGACTCCTCAATTACTTTAAGCAGGATGTGATTATGTGAGAACATGTGTTGGATGAACTGAGTTCTGTCACCAACCTTCACTTCAGTCCTAACCTCTGGACTCATAACAGACTGACATTTCTCTGATATTGTCTAAGATGAAGCTGACAGAGATGAGAGCAATGAAATAAAGAGAAAAAGAAAGAGGACCATAGAAATTAAAAAAAAAATCATTAATATGTTTCCTCCCAATATTGAATTGTTCAGACCCCCAAAGTCAGGTTCAGTAACCTCATTCTAATACACTTAGTATTCTCATAGCTGGAGTCAGTTGTTGCTCTGTACAGTAGAAGTTGGAAACCACCCATAGGTGACCTTCTGGCTTGTTTTCAGAGGCAGTTAATGTCATGGGAGGAAATTGTCCATCCTTCTCCTATGGAGCAGCTGGAGGCTTCAAACCATGTACCTTCGAGATTGCAGAGCAGCTTCTTGCTATTAGACCATCAGAACTCTGCAGTTTATATTGTATTCCTTTGAAATTACTTTTTTTTACCTGTAATGGATATACACCTTTTTGCTGTCATTGTTATGTGCCATCGAGTAACCTACAACTCATAGTGACCCCATATACAATATCTTT